ATAATAATAATAATAATAATAAAGAATAGAAAGAAAAAAAAAAGTTAGCTTTATCTCCAGCACTAGTTTAACACATGCTAAGGACCTACATTTTCTGCTAGCTTACGCACAGAAAATGGCAAGGAGAATTACAAAAAAAAAAGTAAAGAGAAACCAACTTAGTCTATGTTATCTCTTCTCCTACAACACTGCATTGGGGGGCAAGGAAGGAAACGCTTTATGTTACGGTTTCTGAAAGCATGAATCTTTCCAGGCTCGACAGTGCTTCCAATTCCACCAAAGCGACTCAGCCTGAAACAGGCAGCTCATAAAGTTAGGTATAGTTACAGCTAGGTAAAAAGGGATTTAGAATGGAGATTGTTATGCAACTGCTACTTTATGAATTGCTGCCAGATCTGATGATAATACAAAAAGCAGCTGCTTTCTTCTGATTGATTTGGTGTTCCTTTATCCTCCTGTGGCATAGCAATAATATCCTCCGAACACCAATCTTGCCTGGGTTTTTCTCATTTCTTTTGGCACAGACATAAAGAAATAAATACATCACATTTAAAAGCACAAAATCTTTGGAATTCACAGCATTTGGTAAAACTGCAAGTGATCAAAGAAGTGTTAGTTTAATTCTTACACGCACATACATTCCAAAAGGGAATATGCTATGTTTTTACTTTAGTGAAAGCAGAGTCCCAGTACATCTAATGCTTTATTGTATTTCATCAAAATCTCTTCTGCCCCATCAAATAGGTCACTATGTTGAAATAACAGCGACATTTCAAATAGACTGTGTTAACTTTATGAAAGCAGCATAAAATGGGAACTCCATAACTTTGTATTGACACTGTTTTACTGTTGCAATTTACTGTTGTAATGGCACTATTTAGGAAACAATGAATGGGCTGCAGTGAGATAATTAAGGGATAATCTCCATTACTTTGAAGTATACAAAGCCATAAACAGCTGCCAAAACTGATTAATAGCTGAAGGCATCTAATCAATCTAATAAACCATGTATTGCAAGAATATAGGAGCTTCCACCAACTGCGAAGCATTTATCTTATTGATACAAACTGCCGTATTTTCCTTTCTTTGGGATGTAATATCATGAGACCTTGATTGTTCTCCCATTAAAGTCAAGGATAAAACTCCCATTGTGAGCCCAGGGTCAAGCCTTCACTGAGCTGATATCAATGAAAATAAATGCTTCCTTTTAATGTAGAACAGCTCTGCTAAAAACCAATTTTTTTTTTTTTTTCTCCTATTATAAAACATCCCGTGGCACTGAAAGGGGGACACATTCTAGTGGCAAGGACAAATATCAGGAGCTGTGATGGAAATCTGAATCTCCTACCAACTTATACTGCAATTTCCAATAAAGTATTGTTTTGTCTGTGCCTCACCCTCCAATCTGTAAAATGGAGATGAAGCCATGCACACGTTCTACAGGATTATTTCAGGTTTAGTTCAAGCAATGTATAAAGAATCATAGATGGAACATCCTGTACACACTTCAGAGTGCCTCAAAAGCAAAGCAAAGAAACAGCACGGATTGGTCTCGATATTCTGTTATGATGGGATTGTAAATGATGCAGGAATGGGAGTGAGAGGACACACATCCCCTCCCTCACCCTATTTCCACATTATGCATCACCATAAATGGCAGCTCCCCTCAAAGCAAAGTCAGTTCCAAATTCTTCAGAAAAGATGAGTAAACAGGTAGCTCTTTGACAGGAGTTTAACAGTGTACGCCGTAAAAACATCTCGCCAATATTTAAAGCACACACAAAACACAGGCACAGAGTGAGAACTGCATTTGTCAAGCCTTGCAAAATGCACCTTTCATCAGACAAGATGTTTGTGTCTCCTCAGTCCCGCATAGCAAAGAAGCACTGCAGCACATGTTCTCCTATTATACATTATAATTGCCCTTTCCATGCACAGAAACAGATGCTTTTAGCGCTGGATGGTTCTTGAACTTGCTCTTAATCAACCACTTTGTCTCAGTGCTAGTAGGAAGCTACTTGGGTTTATCCAAATATAAATGTTGATACAGAAACTCATAGCGAATAATAACAGAGGTATGAATTTATTGTTTCAGCAAAAGCTTCCATGTAAATTAACCATTGGATAATTAAAAATGCCTGCAGTGTCTGGGCGGGTAAAAGATCAAGCACTTGCTGGATTACAACACAGCTAAAGCTGCGATAAATCTTCCTAATGGCTTAGGAGCAGCAGCTCTCAGCCTCTACAGCTAACAGGACCAATTCCACCAGCCAACGTGTACTAACTCCCATTCATCTGTGCCCGATCTCACCCGTAAGGGACTGCTTGCAATTGCAAGCCTCTTGTCTGGAGAAGCTAAAGCTAAACAACAGGTTGAAACTTGCACAATGGGATGCAGTGCAAGCAGTGGCATTGCACTCATTCCCCGTGCAAGTGTTTGTCATAGGACTAGGCGGGCAAACCTAAAATACAAGTCCCAGAAACCTGCAGTACTGGTATCTCTGCATGTACTGCTGCCGAGGGAGTGTTAGATTTGTGAGAGAAAACACACAGAGCGAGATGTGGAACAACATTTTTCTGCAATAAACAAATACAGTGATTTGAAGATTCACAGCAAAACATTTACATGTGCTGACTGCAGGAATATGCTCACTGGGAGTGAAACAGGACTCCAGAGTTTTAAGCATTTTTCCCCTAACTAGATGGGGCACAATCACAGATCAGAAATTCCTCGAGGCCAGGCCTGCTGCTTCCCTTTGTGGTAAAGCACTGCAATGGGAGCAGCTGTGTGCTCTTAGAATCAAAGAAACGTTTGAATTGGAAGGGACCCTTCAAGGCTGTCTCGTGCAACTTCCCTGCAGTGCACAGGGACAGCCAAAGCTCCATCAGTGCTCAGAGCCCCAGCTGGCCTGATCTTGAGGGTTTCCAGGGATGGAGCACCACCACCTCTCCGAGCAATGCCTCACTACCTTTATCCTAAAAAAACTGTCCCTTATATCCAGTCTAAATTTCCCCTCTTTTAATTCGAGACTATTTCCCCTGGTCCTCTCGTTAGAATTCAGTGCTATGGACATCTCTGCATCTTGGCTGGGTGGCTGAATTGCTTCATTTTTGCCACTGTTTAGAAAAACACACACTTAGATACGTGTGTGCACATACATTCACTGGAACAGGCTGCCCAAGGAGGCTGTGGATGCCCCATCCCTGCAGGCATTCAAGGCCAGGCTGGATGTGGCTCTGGGCAGCCTGGTCTGCTGGTTGGTGACCTGCACACTGCAGGGGGTTGGAACTGGATGAGCATTGTGGTCCTTTTCAACCCAGGCCACCTATGTCTATGTCTGTGTCATAAATGTAACAAATTGCAGGCTGTGGATTTCCTTTCCAACAATGTCGTTTGTCACCACCGTTGGGAAAATCTACGTTGTCTGCATCTTTGTTGGCTATTTCATGAAATTCAGAACGATATCCGTTCCTTTTTGCAGCAAGGTTGCAATGGAAGCTGGTATATACAACTGAAACACATGTATTTATTCTTCTGGGAGAGAAATGTAGTTGCAATTCTTCACCGACACTTCTTTAAGATTTTCTTCCTCAGTTTTAAGCTCCACCAGCCCCATGCAAGGGCCTGCACTGAACACTGGGCAGGAGGACAGAGGAATAACGTGAACACCACAGGGCTTGAACACCACAGTCCTCTTCCTGGCGTATCAGAGCTGGGTACTCCTGGACAGCCAGGCAGGTTTTAAAACACTCTATTAGAAAGCACACATATAATTTTCTCTGAAACATTCTGCTGAGTCCCCTCAATAGCTCCTAGCCGCAAAACGCTGCGCTTCCAAACCCATCCAACCCCAACCACCACACTGCCTTCCCAGGCAGCCCCTGACAAGAGCCCGCCCTCACACAGGCGCTGAGGCGGGAAAGGCCGCTACCCCCTCTTCCTCCCCCCCCTTCCGAGGCCTCCGCGACGCCTCTCGCCTCAGGGGCCCCTCTCAACCTCGGCCCCGCCTGCACCCATCTGACCACGCCCCCACACCCGTGGCCCCGCCCACTCCCCGGGAGGCCTTTTGTAAGCAACAACAATACCCTTCCTCTCCTCCCCTCGCGAAGCCCCGCCCTCCTCCTCCCACAAACCACGCCCCCTCCCCTGCACACGAAGCCCCGCCTCCTTGTTTACCGCGCAGCGGGGCCCGGGCGCTGCCCGCCGCCCGCCTCCATGTTGGAGCGGCCCCGCTGCGCGGGGGTGGGGCGGGACTGGGCGGGGCGGGGCGCGGGCCGCTGACAGGCTGCGAGCGGTGGCGGCGGGCTGTGGCGCAGCGCGGCCCCTTTCCCCTCCCTTCCTCCCCTCGTACCGCGTTTCCCTCCTCGGCCGAGCTCGGTGGCACCACGGGAGGAGGAGGAGGAGGAGGAAGAGGAGGGGGCCCGGGAGCAGGGAGGGGGAGGCCGCAGGGATGAGATAAGCGGGCGGCGGGCATGGAGGCAGCGGGGCGGCTGTGCCGAGGGACGCGCTGAGGGGGGAGGAGGAAGAGGAGGAGGAAGGAGGAAGGAGGAGGAGGAGGAGGAGGAGGAGGAGGAGGAGAGGCCCCGCGGGGCGGCTCAGGTGGATGCGGGGAGCGGTGTGAGGAGGGCGGGGGGGTTTTTAGGGGGCAGCGGTTCCCAGCGGGCAGCGCTCGGTGCCGGGGGGTTCCCCTCGCCTTTCCTTTCCCCCCCCCCTTCCCCCCCTCCCCTTCCCCGCCCCTCCCCTTCCCTCCTCCGCGGGGAATCGGCGCCGGGAGGAGGCGGCGGTGGTAGGGCCGGAGGGGCCCCGAATACGGGGCTGCCCCCACCGCCACCCCCTCCCTTCCCGCCCGCCTGGCTTCATTCCTGGAGGAGTTTTGGGTTTTGTTTTTATTCTTCCCCCTTCCCTCCCCCCCCTTTTTATTTTTATTTGTTTTTTTAAATCTGCGTATTGATTTTTACACAAACAACCCCCCCTCCTCCCTCCGCCTGCCTCCTCCTTCCCTCCCCCCCCCCCCCCCTTTCCCCTCCCCGCACACACGAAGCCTCCGGGAGGGAAGCGGCCAGGTGAAATCTCCCTCTGTTTCCATGGACAACCCGTCCATTATCACCCAGGTGACTAACCCCAAAGAGGAAGAGATCCTGTCCTGCGCTCAGGATAAAGGTGAGCGGTGGAGAAGTGCGCGGGGAGCAGCCGGCTTTCCTCACCCCCTCGCTGGGGACCTGGGGAGGCTGAGTTGTTGGTGGGATGGAGAGCTTTGCTGGGGAACTGTCGGCTGGGCACGGCCCACAACTTCCCAAGGGGTTGGGCTGCGGGGTACGGATTAGAATCGGGGCTTAATTCAATAGAAGGCTTTTGTTCCGAGAGGCGGGGATGTAACTTTGGCAGGTTGTCATTGCGCAGCGCGGATTCGGTACCTGCCCTGGCTTTGAGATCTGTGCTTTGAGATCTCAGCTTCAGAGCTCTTTTTTTTTTTCTTTTTCATCCCTCTTCTTTGGGATGCCTCCTTTCTGTCTTCTCGCTTCCCAGTCTTTCTCTCATCCCGTTTTCCTTGCATTCGAGAATCCATGTAGCTTTCAGGTCTGTGTTTTTTCTTAAAGGCTGCTTGTCGCTGGAAGAAATGCAGGCAACTTGTAAAAGCTGCTGGCCATCCCAATGGCTGGGTGGATCAACAGCTGTTGCTTGCGTAAAGCGTCGTGTCCAGGCGCTGTTTCACTCCAAAATAAGATGGATCCAGCTCGGCCAAAGGAGCTGCTGCTCCTTCAGAGCCTGGAAGGCACCGGTCCGCCATCGCCTCCTTCCTTCTTGGAAGCTCAGTGGGATCTTGGGCTGAATCCTTGCAGACGGCCCCAAGTGGTGCTGGCGGGAAGAAGGTGCCTCTTCAGGGTTGATGGGAACAGAGTCCTACATTTGGAATGGTTTTGGAGTGCTGGGTTTGTGCTTTGTTCCGAGCAAGGGAAAAAAGGCAGGAATTGCTTTGCGCAAACATTGTGGCAATGTTGTGTGATGTAGGTATGGTGGTAGATCTCCAAATGGTCTGCAAGTGGTAGGTTGATACGTTTGCCTTTCGGACCTGGGCATTTGATCCCCAGGATGCTTCCATTTTTGCGTGGCTCACAGCAAAGGGGTCCTGGGCAGCTGCAGAAGTTGCTGCTGGTTGCTGGCAAGTGAAAGGCTCACGCCAAGTCACTGCGTGCTCATCTCACGTGTGCTGCCTGCAAGAGGAGGATGGAGATGGATGTCAAAAACATTGTGTCGTTAAGGTGGGATGTTCCACTAAACCAAAAGATGATTTTCTTCTTTTTACTTAGATGATTGCTTACGTTGCTTGCTTTTTAATTTGCATTGCTTGAGCAGTGGCACTCTGTGCTGAGGCCTTGCTCATCCCTGGAGATTACTGACGTTTCCTTCTCTTTTGGCAGCACTGAGTATGGGGTGTCTGCAGGAGCACAGCGCTGCTGCTCTGCCTGTGACATCTCCTAAGGCTGCTTTGGAGCAGATTTATGTCACACAGTGCTCAGATGGTGCCGTGGTCTTAACAGCCTCTGTTATTGCAGTGCTGGAAGGTTTTGGGTAGCATTGCTAACAGCTGGTTGCAGCCTTAATGTAAAAAAGGCAGTTGGGAGAAACAGGAGAAATTGGCAGCTCCAAATAAGACTGAGCATCAAACAAGTGGCTTGAGTTCAGCCAGCTACTCTGTGTATCAAAAATATGCATCTAACTTGCATAACTATGCAGTAACTTGCATAAGATGCATTGTGTTCTTGCTATTGGTTTGTCTGGAGCAGAAAAATCACGATGGGCTTCAATTACATAGCAAGGGCCTTGCAGGCTGCATGCAAGCACTGATGGGCTGGGGAGAGCAGAAGGAGGGTAGCTGGAGTTGAGCAGGCGAGAGTCTGAGCTTGGTACAGGAGGAAGGTGGTTTTTTTTCTGTATTTTTTTTAAGCTTAGTCAAAGTGCATTTGGACTGATTTACTGCTTCGCAGCGTGGTGCTACGTGCTGTGTGGTGAGCCTCGAGCATGTGAGAGCAACTGTGGCAGGGGAGCTCTGCCAGCCCCCTGTGCTGGGCTGGGAAGGAGCCCTGCTGCCTGCCTGTGCTGCTCCCGCTACAGGTTTTTCCTTCTCCCATTGCTGAGGTGTATGCAGCTAGCAAAGACCCACTGTGTTCCCTTCCCTGCTGGGCTGTGTGTCACCTCACCCGCTGCTCTGTTCCGTTTCTGAAGTTTGGGCCAAGCTTTTGGGTAGGATGAACTCCGGGTGCCCGGAGTTGTGGTGGTGAATGGAGGAGCTCGGAGCGAGAGCACTGCTGGGTCTGTCTGAGCACATTGGTGCAAAATGGCTAACAGCCATCCAGGCACCCTGAACTAACAGTTCAGCTCATACAAGTATCATCCGGACCTGTGCTGTTCTGCAATTGTGTGATACACTGAGTTACAGTAGCACTGTACTGTGTGAGCAGAGGCTGTCCAGCCCCGTGGCAACCTGCATTCAGCACTGGGTTGCAGGAATATGGTCCGGGAGTGGCTTCAGGAATTGAGATTTCCCTAGGATTTTTGGAGCTTCCATTGGTGTTTCTTATGACGAATGAATTTTTTTCTTCTCCTTAAGCTGTAGAGAAGCAGTGAGTAACTACTAAATAATGCACGTGTATACTTTGGAGTGTTGGATTATTTTTTTCCGATGTTTTTGAAGCTTTTAATCAAGTGTGACTTCAGCATTTAGTTTGACTTATTTTTTCAGTATGTATTTATGTTCTAAAGGGAGCTTAATGCACAGTATATGCTTATGGTCAGTTGCTCCTGTGGAAGGGGAGCGTGGTTGGCAGGAGCCAAAGAGCTGTGTCCTCACCATGGAGCAGTTCTGTTTTTTAAATAAATATTGTGCTTTATAAATATAAATGTCCAACTATTCTCTCGCTAATCCAGACATATTAAAAATGTTTTTTGAGGTAAGTGAGGCTATGATAACTTACTAAGCTCATTAATACTGAGAGGGAGCTGTTACTTACTCTTAACAAACACCCAAAAATTTAGAAAGTGGAAAAAACCAGCTCTTGGCACACAAACCATTCCTTAATGTGTTGCCACACGGTGGTGCACTGTATTTAGTTGTCTATCAGAATGAAAGCTGAACGCAGAAAGGTGCTACAACCCTGCTTTATTATAATGGCAGCGCTTGCTTTGCAGTGCCTGCACTGCTTGTGGAGGATTTTGGCCTCGAAGCTGTTAAGTCAGTTCTGAAAAACGAACACGTTCTCCTGTTTGGAAGTGGTATGTAAGCAATCAGAAATGTTTTAAGCACTGAAATCAGGAGAAATGCAATTCCCTGATAGGTTAGCGGCCCTGTGCACAGCAAGGGGGTTGAAACTAGATGATCATTGCGGTCCTTTTCAACCCAGGCCATTCTATGGTTCTGTGAAGTAAGAGAAAGAGTTCTTTGCAGCACTGTTTTGTGCTGTGATTTTTTGTTGTGGTCGTTTTTGAAAACTGGAAGTGTTACCAAAGCTTGTCTCCAGAAATTAAAATGTAGGGAGAACGGTGTGCTGTATCAGCCATAAATGGGACCAATTAAAACAACATGAAGAAAAGCTAAACATCTGACACAGTGTGATCCATTTTATAGATAAAATCAGCCATTTCTGCTCCTTTTATTTTGAGAGTATTTATTCTTTTTAATCAGTTGGACAGTGACCTCAGTTACATCTCCAGAAAAGCAGCAGTGATGCACTGAGTATGGCAGAGGGAGTGTGGTTGTGGGTGGGTAACATGTAATGGCCCAGAGAAGCAAATGCCCGTTCTTTTAAATCTAAGTGGTTTAATTTCTTCTTCATAACTGATGTAAATGGCTGGTCTGGGAGCAGTGCAGGACCAGCCCAGTCCTTTTGTGGGTACCCGGTCCTTCAGATGCTGCTATTCAGATTTCTGCCTTCACATCCATCCGTCCTGACTTTGGCTACGTTTGTCAGACAGCTGAGCACCTATTTTCAGTTATATGGAACACCTGAGTGTTTTAGTGTGTCTACAAAAAATGTGTTTTCTTCTATGATGAAGCAGCTGGGAAGCGTTCAGAACGAAATGTAAAGCATTGCTAATTGTTTTTAATGAACAGTGTCACTCAGTGAGGGTACCTTCTTAAGCAGGCAAGCTTTCATTCAGAAAAATTGGATAAAACAAACAGAGCAGAACCAATAAAGGCAGTACTACCATGTAAAATAGCAAGTAATTAAGATCTAAAGTTAAAAGCTGCTTTTGAGAGCGCAATCAAAGTAAATCACTAATTGTATTTTCTGCAAGATGCATTTTGAAAATATATTAAAAATATTGAGGAGCCTTTTTGTCATTACTTCGTCAGAATTCAAAGTACTTAAACATCTGGAGGCATTCAGGGCCAGGCTGGATGTGGCTCTGGGCAGCCTGGTCTGCTGGTTGGTGACCCTGCACATAGCAGGGGGTTGAAACTAGATGAGCGTCCTGATCCTTTTCAACACAGGCCATTCTAAAGATACATCAGTGTTCCTGGGGCAGTGTCTCAAGAAATTTGTATGGTATTATCTCCAGATTTTTTTACTTTAAAGTAGCATGCAGAAATGGAAATGGAAACCACATCGGCAGTAGGTTGGAATGTGAATTGCTCACAGAGGGTAAAAATTTAAATCATTAACTAATGACATAGCTGTTACATGAAACCAGAGTAACCATACAGTAGGTTTTATGTTCCTGGGAGACCGTAGTAACCTGCAGTAACCCGAGGTTTGATTTAAGGTGGCAGCTAACAAGCTGCAGTGTGCTGGCAGTAACATGGACGATAGCTTGCATGAATATCTGGTATTGAGTTGGTGTCGGTGAGCTGCAGCGCTGTCGTTTCTTCCTACTGCATGCCAACTCCGTTTCACGTTTGTTTCAATGCAGCAATTTAAGTTGAGCGTTGAGGAGTTTACCACACCTTTTTTGAGGGGGGGGGAAGAAAAACAAAGTTGACCTACATTTGGTCAATTCAGCATTCAGAAATGCAAATAGCATTTTCTGAGATAATCGCTACAATGCGTCGTGATGGGCGCTGCGCTTCATCTTTCACAGCTTAATCTGCACATTGCAAATCAGCTTCCGGATAACATGTCCAAGTTTGTTTCTTTAAAGTGATACCACATGAAAATGCTGGG